GCACCTATTCTCCACCTTGCAACTAGTTTATTACTAAAAGAAACACGAGTTAAGGGTGACAAACTAGTCCAGAAACACTTTGAAGTATCCAAACAAGTCACAATATTATTAACTTCTGTTTGATAAAAGTTCGGTTGTGCATGAAATACTGAACAGCTGTGATACTTGAATAAATAAAATGGTGTTTCCAAAATACTGAGCAGCCAAAAGATTTTTTATTTGCAATTTAAGGAAAAAAAGAACTGGATTTTTTTTTGCAGGTGACATGTAAACCAAAAAACAAAGGATACATAAACTTGGGCGTCCTGAGTATATTTTTCCCACCAGCAAGCGGATGCAACACCGTAAGAAAGTAATACAGATGCCCAACAACAATACCCAAAAGATCGGGCACAATGGATTCACCAAATATGACATCCAAGAAGAGCATTGTCCATGGCAGATAAAAGGCCTGGGAAGGAAGATAGGAGTGCCATTAGCCCACAACCAAAGACAAAAATAACTAAAGTATTCAAGTTTTTTAATCAAGAGGTAAGAAAATCCAAACGGATTACCCTGAAAGAAACCAGGCCATAAAAGCTGACAGTGGCATTTGGGAATTCCCTACTCCAAACATACACAAGCATGAAAACGAGCGATCCTCCTAAGAAGGCAGACCAGAGGAAGGGTATGAAGGACAAAACCTATACAAATAGGAAACAGTTAGAAACTTATGAAGGACAAAACCTATACAAATAGGAAATAGTTAGAAACTATGTAAAATAGGAAACAACAACGAAAACCAACATAACAAATTAACAAGTAAGAAACTTAGAAATGATTCAACAGAAAGGTGAGGAAAAAGAAAATATCATCAGTATAATTCTTAATCTTCTCAGTGAAAGAATCTAAACACACCAATAACGAGAGGCCTCCAAACAGCATCATCCATATGAAATCAGAGGTGCGTCTTGCAAAAGGTCCATTCTCCAATTGAACTCCATATCTTGCTCTACATGAACATGTAAAAGGTAATGTTAAACAAAGCTCGATCTGCATGTACAGCAGAAAATATAGTTGTATATATTTTTCAGGCAGCATCAGACGCCAAGTATAGGATCAAATATAGTATTTCAATCATGTCAGTTGTCACTAGCTAATTGGGATTTTGTGTAACATACATCATTAAGAGCCGGAAAGCAAAAATGACGGAGAAAGGGCCAATAAAGAAGAAGTTGGTGACTAGTCTCCATACCTGAAGATAAAAATTAAACAGCGTTAGATAATCTACAATTACAGAAAGAGAGAATTTGGTGGAAAAAGAGAACAGGACACTAATGAAGCTTTCCAAACATCTTGTTTGAGAAGAAGATAGACTGCGCACAACTTCAATTGAGATGCAAAATAAAACAATAACACATAGATCGTAATTTGTTTCTCGTTTGATTTCAGAAAAATGCGAGAAACGAACAAATAGACTCTTAGGATCACACCAGAATAGGTAACACACTGATACACACACAAATTCAGCTATTGGTAACTAACAAATCAACTCACTCTAGTCCAAGATATAAGCCACAACTTACAATCATAAAGTTAAGGTGAAATTAATTAAGTTATGATATGCCTAACCTAACCCACTGCCATCAGAAGAGACTGCAATACTATTTTGGTCTTAATTTCATCTAAAGGGACCATGATGGCAACTTTAATTAGTGGTTGTGTTGATATAACATTACAAATAGGTAAAGTTTGACCAACCATAATAATCAGCAGGCTCTCAGAAGATAAGAGGAATGACAATTGCATTTCCATAAACCCTTACCTTAACCTCTCACATGTACAATCTGCACTTTTCCAATTTTATCTATGTTGGAGGACATTTTGCATATAATACGATGGCACATTACATAGATAAATAAAACATATAACAAATATCTTACTGAACTTGTTAATACAGCGCTCGTCATAATACACCAGGATGCATCGTAGTTAATCAATAGTTCGTTCAATAAAAACAAAGATCAGACGAACAAATACTTTTATTCAGCATTCCACTCTTTAACATGAAACACACAAATGTACAAGTATAAATGATATTGTAAGAACAACCATACACCTAAGACAACAATCAATATTTAAAATGAGGAAAAACAACAGTAAAATTATCTTATTGTATACAAAATTTACTAGAACAAGAATTGCATGAAACATTTACCTGGAGATGCCAGATTGATAGCGCAGGTATATGTGCTATATAATAAGGACTTAGCAGCCGAAGATGATATGCAACGGTGACCAGAAAGCATGTGGTTCCATAAGCCTTTGTTATAGGTGGAAGAGACTTATAGTATCTGTAAAAGAGAAATTGGGAAAATCTCAAACTCTCGATTAAAAAGAAAAGCATTACTGGTGAAGTCTTCTCACTTATCAAATTACATAGTCAAACTTACAAACTATTACTACTGAAATTATTTACTAGTCAGAGAGAATATATGTTCCTATGCAACTTGCAAGTATGATACAAGTTCAATCGTCATATAAAAAAAGTAAGATGATCCCAGAATTCATAGTGATACGGACATACAGTTCATATAACTATTCTTGAAATAAATCATACTTTAGCAGAGAACAGGCTTGTGAAAAGTTATCAAGTTTTCGAGCAACGGAAAAGACAAGCTTTCAGGATTTTGTTTAAACAAATGATGAATATACCAACCAAGCAAATCAAAGGATGTAGATTACTATAGCATGTGGACATATCCTTTAAACACATCTACCAACTAGCCAAGAAAAACCCTCGATGCAGCATTAAAAATCTGTCGATGCTTCCCCAATATTGTTGGAAAAAAACCCAGATTGCAGTTACAAAATCTAGGTCAATTTCCAAAGGCCTTGATTACAAATACAAGGCAAAATTAACAACGCCTGGAAGAACAAAAGCCTGTCTGTAAATAATTATGTGTCAAGAAAACCTGATAGCCAGCCAGCAAGCTACAAATCAAGACAACTCAAAAGCAAATAATTATGAACAAAAAATAAAACCCAATTAATCCTATTCAAGAACACAAATAGCAGCAGCATTATAAGGCGATAGAACCATTCAATTACACACATTGCAGGGATAAACGTGAACGAATCTAAACAACAAACAAAGACGATACAAGGGATAGAGAATTACTCGGAAGGTGAAGACATGGCGAATCTGGAGAAAAATTCAGTTGTGATGGAACAAACAAATTCGAGTATAAACGATCTGCAACTTGTTAGTCTGTAAATTCTATATAGTAAGTCAAGCTCGAGCAGGAAGAAGAAAAGCTTAAAGAAGAAGAAAACAGGAGGCGGGGTTGAAGTGAAATTGCCGAAGGAACAAAGGGGTATAAAAGGTAAAATTACTCCTTGTGGAGTTGTATCCAGATTCCAGAACCTTCGTTATCAAACGCCCCGACCCGTTAAGACTGACCCAAATCCCCAGCAGGAAGCAAATTTTGATATGCTATTTGAGTAATGCTACAAGTATATAATAGTGTACATAAGCGTTTACATAATACTCACATTGAGTGGACCCACCAAAAAAATAAAATCAAGTGGACCCCACACCATGAGAGACTTATGTATACCTCTATGTACATTTATTATGTAGTATGTACATGTAGCATTTTTCATGCTATTTACATTTGAGATTTTTTTTTTTTTTTTTTCAAATGTCTAATGCTATATGGAATTTTGATATTTTTGTTTAATTTCTATCTATATAAAAAATATATATATATATATATATATATATGTATATATATATATATATATCTATATCTGATATATAATTTGTATTTACCTGAAATAGTAACTACATTCTCGGCTAAATATTTCAATATTACCTTTATTAGTAACTTTTTGAAATATTTTTGAAAAGTGACGACCAATCATTTGAAATTAAAATTAAAAAAATCAATATAATTAATGTACAAAATCATTCTGGTTAAGTATGACGTATCTTACCATTGAAATGATGCAAATGCCTAAAGCCCTCCTTCCGACTTAGAAATACCAACTATAAATAGCTTTAGCATCTCTTCCTTTCAATCGAGCATCTTCAAACCGCTCCGTGGGGTCATAGCAAAGAAAGTGAACTCAAAGCCTCTGCATGTTATTGTCCAGAGGTGGTTCACCTGTTCATTCCTTAGGAGCAGCTTTCGATTCGCGATCAACTCCTCAATATTTTGATATAAAAAAACACTTCTGTCGCGATAAAGGCGGTGGAGTGGGGTTTCTATCCCTTACGAACCAAAACTACCGAGCCTCGGAATTCAGTCGAGTGAAGGTTACATTGACCTTCAGCCTTGTCTACTATTTTAGTGCGCATTAAACTCTCAAGGACTTTACTGCTAGGCTACTTCTTTAACCCAAGCATAAAGAAATTATTCACTTTTAGCTTCAAAAAGGAATCAAGCATCTCAGATTCAAATTATGCAAAAACTCTTTCTCCGCGTATGCCATATCCTTCGAGGGTCAGTTTTCTTGTCTGCCGAATGTGCTGAATCTTCCTCTGAAAAGAAAGAAGAACAAGAGCTATTGTGGTTGAGGAACAAGCCGTCGTGGCTGCACCTGTCAAGTTACACAATCTTTCTCTTTGCCTGCTTTGATTAGGCTTTATTCCCGAGCGCTCTTTTTAAGAGCGAAAGGCGGCAAAAGAAAGGAAGGAAAATCCATGGACAGGCCTCATCATCTCCACCCCGTAGGAACTTGGTAAGTAATTTGGACTGGAAAAACGAACAATAAACAATTTGTTATTAGTAGATAAAAATATAATAGATAAAAATAAAATTATGAATACCCAAAATTGAGAATTTTAGGGTTTATTTAGAGAAGAAGATTGTGAGAGATTTTCGGTGATTAAACAAAATTCGGAGCAAATATGAAGAAGATGTCTTGGGAAGACCAACTATGTATAGGCATGAGATACGGCGTTTCAGTTTTACGAGTTTAAAATTTAAACTTGGCAATACGTACTTTTTCAATTAAGATACATGTTCCCTCCAAAATATTCACTTGCCAAAGATAGACGTGTTTTACCATAAACTAAGAATGGAGCTTCAAATAAGACAAGATCATAATTTAGTACCAAAATAACTTTTGCACAAAGTAGGACATTTTAATCAATTAAGAAAATCATATGCAATATATGCCTTAGACACGACACACAATATATGATATATCATGCAACAAAAGATTACCATATTCCATAAAATAAATGACCAATTTCATTCCAAATAATCAAAGATTCCTCTCGAAACTTACTTTATGACTACAACACAATCAATGGAACAATAACATACATCACACTGTACAGAACCTTATAACTCCAACTTTAATATAACAAATAATTAGTATGAATTTGTTGATCAGTTTTCTCTTACCGTTGATCAGAAATTTCATCTGAATATCAGCCCCAATACTTATGATATGATAATAAGGACTATACATCAATGTCAAGTCTATTGCTTTAGTGTGTGTACATCTTGCAAAAAGATAATTATTCATATGCTACACAAGAAAAAAATGGCCAACCTTATTCACCAATGAGCGTACTTTACTTATGCAACGACTACATGTAGCAATCACATTTCATTTATTTTTAAGCACGTAACTCGTTTCATAAGTGATAAATGAATCACCTCATGTGATAGATGTCCGATCTTATTTTCATGAGTGTAGCTCTTACACGTAGAAATATATGGTCATTATGCCATAATCACTTGGAAGATTTGGTCCAGAAAACCTGGACATCAAACATCTTTGACCCACTTAGGTACCAATTTATTCAACAACCTTGAGATGAACTTACTAATAAACAATAAATTTGATGCCTAATGCAAAGAGCTTACTAATGGGATCTGTGAGAATCTCGTCATGTACATGTCACGAATTCAATATCAAACGTGTTATACGCAGCGGATTTAAATGTTTGATGTAGAAAACTTACAACTTAAAATTTTCAGAATCTGACAGATTCTGGATGACCGGGAGCAGCAGGTTGGCAAGTTGCCAGAATCCGGGATTGAGGCTGGGCTCGTTAGCATCGGCGGGTCGCGATGCTGCAGTGGTGGTGTTGGAGGCGTCGCAATGGTCGGTCGGGGCTGGGCTCGATGATTGCGTCACGACGTCGGGCTTGCGTCAGGCTCGATGGTCGGTGTCAGGCTCGGCTTGCTCGCCTCGCTCTGGGGTTGACAAATATATATGTCTCGGTTACCTCATAATCTTTTAGCGTATTACTCGAACACCTTTTCAACTGTATCGATGGAACAACAATAACAAGATAAAGCTCGAACAGATTTCTAGAGAGAGAAGAGAGAGAGGGGCGTGCTTGTATAATATCACGAAGGAGAAATTTTATCTCTTTTTTCTTTTCCATGAGCTTAATGATGTATATATAGAGCTACAGTAGGGATCCTAAGGACAATAGAAATAGGGCTTCTTTAGTAATGGACTAACTGCGGGCCTGACCACTCTTCCAATTACTTAAATTATATTACATTTTACTAATATAATATTATTGCACTATCTTTTTCTATCCCAAATTACATGTAAGACTCTAATAATAATTACCAGAATTCAATCCACATGCAGAGTTTAGCATAACAATCCTTCATTAACTCACTTCGGGGACATTATCAAACTAACGCACACAGTGACCGTAAATATTCTAACAACACATTATACATAGAGCAATATTACCCAAGACAGCAAGACTATTGATTCAGCGAACTAAATCTCACCCAAATGAATCAAAGTAATAAATACTGCATGTATATGTTTGTTTAATATCTTACGGGTTAAGAGAACGCAATAATTAATCGAGGCCTAGATCATTTATGACGATCATTATAAAATGAACTTCTCCCCTCTGGGATCCATTCAATACATACATGTACTAGGACAACTAATCAGTCAAGACCAACTGTACCATTGACACTACAACCATTCCGATGGGCCGTTCATTTCTATCTAGGTTGTGAACCATAAATTCTTGTTTCGCAAGTAACTGATAGAATGATCTTCTGTTCACCAGATGATGACCCATTCCGTCTTGTGCAAAACAACAGAATATAGAACTTGTTTAACTGAACAAGATTCTCATTCATAAAGGACAAAAGTGTAATACCATCTAAAGTCAAACTTTTAGTATATAACACCAAAAATCTCCCACTTATACTTAAAGCTTTCTTTTTTGTACAAGTATAGTCCTATCTATCTGTTATTCTAAAAGACCTATATCGATTCTATCACCATACACCTGACTTCCATTCCTTCAACATGTTTGACGAAGACCTTTCCGATAAACTCTTTGTGAAAGGATCAGCTAGGTTGTACTCTGATGCAATCTTGGCAACATCGATGTCTCATCTACCCATGATATCTCGTATTAAATGGTACTTGCGCTCTTTATGTTTGCTTTCTCTATGGACTCGTGGTTCCTTTGAGTTCGCTACTGCTCCACTAATATCACAGTGACACTACGTGGCAAACTCGGAATCACCTCCAAGTCCACTAAGAAGTTCCTGAGCCAAATTGCCTCTTTCGCTGCCTTTGAGGCTGCTATGTACTCGACTTCTATGGTGGAGTCTGCTACGCATTTCTGCTTAGTACTCTTCCATGAAATGGCTCCACCTCCCAAGGTAAACACATAACCTGAGGTTGACTTACTCTCATCCCTATCTGACTGAAAATAGGAATTACTGTAACCTAGAGATAACAGGTTGTCTGCACGGTAAACTAACACTCCTTAGTCCTCTTCAGGTACTTGAGTATATGTTTCACCGCAGACCAATGTTCCCGTCCCGAATTACTCTGATATCTATCTACCTTGCCAACGACGTAGCTAATATCCGGCCTCGTACACAACACAACATGCATAAGACTTGCTATTGCCGATGCATAAGGAACTGTGTTCATGTCTTCTATTTCTTCAAACATCTTGGAAGACATCTCCTTGGATAGACCTACTTCATGTCTGAAAGGTAACATATCTTTCTTGGAATTCTGCATGCTGAATCTAGCCAAGACAATATTTATGTATGTAGACTGAGATAACCACAACATTCTCTTCTTACGATATCAAATGACCCTAATACCACGAATGTGTAGCGGATAATGTAATTTTACAAATATAAGAGATCATTACCAATTTACTAGTTGCA